AAGAAAAGGCTGTTCAGAGCGTGGCAGGGCACCGTCATTTTAGACCAGAGTGCTGGGCTGGAAACCAAGTATAAGGACACATCAGGAACCCGGTTTGCCAGACCTAGGATAGAGGTTGAGGCTTGGTCTCCAGCAAAATGCAGTTACTGCAAATGCAGGATAAGGACCAAGAGGCAGCAGAAGAGAATACCCAGGCCACGGGCTTCCTGAGCCCCCAGGTGCAGCCCCTTCTGTTCCTTGAGTGGAGTCGGGATCGCCTGCCACCCGCCCTTGCAGCCTGCAGCCGAACCCAGCAGTGGTGCCCGAAGGTTCACTGTCCTCTGCCCATCTAGGAACTGCTCTGCCCAATCAACCAGATTGGCTTGACATTACTTCTATCATGAAAACAAAAGGTAAAAACAGAACATATAAATCATAAACAACTGCATTCAGAAGCAATCTCCCTGCTCAGGTGTGCTCCTGAAGCCTCCCCTCCATGAATAACAGGCTCTTGAGCGGTGGCGGTCTCTGGGTAGGGATAATTGAAGCACAACTCATTGCTTCTCCGAGCTACTCCATCTGATGAGGGCGAGCAGTTGGTATCTGGGAATCATTACCTTTCCTCCTACTCAAGATGTGCTTTGATCAGGTATCAGCTAGGGATCCCGGAGAATTACATAGTTTAGGTTTCGGCTGCCTTTCCAGATGGAGGTGTATTTGCTAGACTTTCTGAAACGCTTGGCAGGACCACAAGAACAAAACCCAGTTCCGGATCTTGTTTGTTAGTGTGCTGTGGAATCTCTGCTCCAGTTCACACTTTTCTAGATCCTTCTGTAAGATGAGAGCGTGACGAGGACTCGGGACCCACCACGTTCTCCAAGCCTTGGCAGACTTCAGTGTGGCGGTCTTGCCCAGATCGGAGGCTAGATTGAGGCTGCCGTGGTCGTGTCACTGCCACACTGTGGGAAGTGTTTCGAGGTGACTCAGAGGACAGAGGCCAGCGTGGTGAAGGGCATGGAAATCCTCTCACTGGAGGGAGAGGAAAGGGAGCGGGGTTGTTTAGCACGGAAAAGAGATTACTCAGAAGGCTGTCATGGAAAAGAGTCATGCTGTGTGTGTGTTACCGAGTCCAAGTTCGCTCTGCTCACTGCACGACAGGCCAGTAAATCGGAAACAAGGTGTTGAGGCAGGGAATACGACGTTATTCGGAAAGCCGCCAGACCGAGATTATGGCAGACTAAAGTCTCAAAATAACCATCTTATCGGGGTTTGGATGCCAGTTTATTTTATAGCACAGAGAGGGAGAGGAGATGAGAAAGTAAAGTAATAAGGCCATAAGTGAGGCAGCTATCCCCTGGAATGGTCAGCCTCTGGGAGGGGATGTGTTAATTTCTTCTTTCTTGCAGCCATCTACAGGTGGAACAGGGTCCAGAGTTTCCCTGAACAAAGGCACTTGGTTTAACATTCAGGCAGAGGGGCAGGGTTCCCCAAGGCAGGCAATTATGTATAGACGGTACCCTTTTAATGAACAAAAGCAGTGGAAAGCAAAGGTTAAGGTAAAAGAAACAGATCCAACAGGTAGTCCAGTTTGGCTCTTCTCTGTTGTGTGTGTGTGTATGCATATGTGTGTGTGCGCACATGCATGTGTGTGCCTGGGTGCAACACATTCAACCAATGAGTAGGTAGACATTCGGGGGTTAGATCTGAGCTCAAGATAAGGAAGGCTTTATTAATGTTCAGAGATACTTAAAGGTGAGCTGTGTGCCTGGGGGCTGCTTTTGAAGCAGAGGCTGGCTGACCACTTGGCAGGGCATTTCCTGAGGGACTGCCACCATCATGACATTAGCCCAGAGGACATTTAATGTCCCTAGATTACATGGTTAGCCTAGATGACGTTTAAAGACCTTCCGACCCTGAGATTCTCCGCGGATGCCTACAGGCTTGACCCACTGACATAATATGGCAGAAAAAATCCTAACCTGGGAGTCAGGAGACAGGAAGTGAGGCCCTGGCTCAGTCTTGTCGCATCTCCTTTAGTAGCTCCACGTACTTTTCAACCTTAGTTTTCCCATCAGTCGTCTATTTCTTATACTGGTTGCATTTACCTCACTGGCCCTTTTACAGCGCAAATGATAGATTGAAAAGTGCTTTGAAAAGTAGAAGGTCTTGTGTTCTTCCCAGGTGAGCCTTTGGCGAGTTGATGGGGGGCAGTAGGCAGCCTGACCCCTTTCTTCTATCAGGGCCTCTGACGTCCAGATTATGATTAACACGGAGTTATTCAAACTCTGCCTTGGGAGGAGCACAAGGGTGCCCGGGATTGGGTCTCCTTGGAGACAGACCTTTCTGGGATGAGTTCTGTGAACCAAGGCAGGGCCTGGCCCAGGAGAGGGGGGCGATGCTGGTGCTGGTGGGCCGGGGGAGCAGGGAGTGTGAACTCACGGGCAGGGGGTGACCACGGAGCCGAGGACACAAACAAGCTCTGGCGTTTAGGAAATCTGTCAGGAGAGAGACGCAGCCACCAAGCCGAGGGCAGGACTCTGCATCTGGGACTGAGGACTGGCAAGCAAATAGAGGTGACAGTAAATCTTTTTCAAGATAAGAACTCGGGCTTCCCTGGTGGTGCAGTGGTTAAGAATCTGACTGCCAATG